AATAGAAAGAAATTAGAAAATATTCAGCGAGCAATGAACAATAGCAAAAGTTTATTTTATTCGACGGCGAGAATAGATTTCAGGCAATAAAGTTATAATAAAATAATAGCTGTCACGAAAAGTAAAAAAGGAGAAGCGAATGATGTGTCAAAGGTTGATCATAAAATCATAAAAAAAGAAATTTATGAAATAGAATGATGTCTGACGATTAAAAAGTTGACATTTTCATAATTTAATAACTTACATGCAATGCTTACGATTTAGACGTTGCAATAATCAAGATCATTATGTTGAAATTGTTTACTGAGAAATAACTACGTCAACGTATCTTCGCATCTTAAGAACAACTGAGGCAAAACGAATATGTGTATATTTATGTTATGAATTTATATAAATATACAAGGTTGGCAACGTTACTTCATAATAATAAATCGTTACAGTCTTTTTTCTTAAAAAGTAATTCGTTATATCGTCACTCCTTATTGATTTGCAAAAGTATAAGCCTCATAAAAATAACTCGGTAGCATCATTCAAAATGTAATGAGGCGTTACTTTTTCTTCTTGATATTAATAGAATGTTATAGCGTTTCTCATTGACGGTACTTGAGAAAGTTCAAATTACTCAGTACGTATTGCAGTCTTTGTATACTATTCTAATTGGAATAAAAAGTAAAAATGACATATCTCAATTAATAAACTGTTTAAGATATACTTTATGAAATAATAAAACGTATTTTCGTGATTTAAATCATGTTTGTATTTTTATTTTAAACATACATCTTTACATCGACATGTGTACAAAGATTTTAAAGTGTATTGAGTGTACAAACGTTTTGCCAATAAAAAAATACTGTTATGTGAAGATTTTTGCTTTAAATATTCAGATGAGATGTGATAGTTCTATCTTTAGCAGAGAAATAATATAATACTATAAAAACTAACGAATGTTGTTATACAGATACGTTCTATTTAGAAATAAAACTTTCACGTGGCTAAATAAAGTATCGACGAAAGTAATTAGTGAAATTGTACAATAACTAAAGTTTATTTTTTTTTGCGCAACACGCTGCAGCAGCAAAATGCTGTTATTGGTTGAGAATTTTTCGAATTTTCCGTGAGATGAGAGGCACTTCCAATCAATTCTCGATAATTTAAATCACGTGACATTATGTCGTTTGTAACTGCCACAGTATGCTGTGTATGAAAAGTTAACTTAGTGCATACATACATATATATATTATAGGCTTTATGTTTCTTGCATTATGGAGTGCTTTGCTGATTGTATTTATTTCGTATAAGTTTTTTATTAAAAGAAATATACTTTTCAATATCTTTTTTATCAAGTTAGGGGATATTTTTTTCTTTTATAAAGGTTTTTTTTAAGATATATATTTAAAAATATTTATACATGTTTATGTATGTTTATTCGTATTTATATACACAGTAAGTCAAGTAGGAGCGTGGTCGACCTTACTCAAAGCTAATAAAAGATATCGCCCTAAATCTATCATGAATCCATAGAGGTCACCTTTATCCTTGATACACTATCAAGAAAGATTCAGTTGTCATTGAATTTTCTTAAGAGAATCACATTAATCGCCACGAGTACCAAATATGCATCATGGTATGAAGCGTGTTCTTCACGTTGTGTTTCTCTGCACTCACCCGAAAGGTCTAAAAATGTCAGCCGTCAACAATTAGTGGCTGCTAAATATATAAAAGTTGAAATCATTCGTACAGAAGTGAATGCAGCGATATAATGTGGCAAAAAATGTCGATGATTTATCGGAACGTGATATGCAAAGTGGACAAAAAAAGACGATAAAAAAATAGTGAATCTGTTTTCGCGGAATCCTAGCTTAACACTGCATCAATGACAAGCAAAATTGAAGCAGAAAGGTTTAGATATATCGTATGAAACTATTCGAACCTATCTCAAGGCTAATAACATGAACTCGACCACGCTCTTACTTGACTTACTGTATACTGATGCAAGAGGAATTTTTTACTAGAATATAAAAATAATGAAAGTTAATCTGGTACACGGTCGAGACTCATCGTGTGTAGTGTAGTAAGTATTAAAGTTCAAATGAATCTATCATTATTGTTTCAACATGCTAAAAGATGTGCTAGCGCATACAACGATACTTTTGCTCAGTTGACAAAGTTACGCTAATTCGCATCTATTTCTTTCGTAGAAGAATGTATGTATTTAAAAGTGATATATAAAATGTTTGATTTAAATTAATATATCTTTTAATTTATTAGATTAAAAAAAAATCTTTTTCTCAAAGTAACGGTAAATTCATAGTTATATATCATTATATCTATATGTGTATATGTAGGTATATGTACACCTAGGAACAGTCGTTCTCAATATTTTGATATTGTTAGTTGACAGCAGATAATTTAAAATTCGATCGTAATAATCTTGATTACTAGTAAGCATTACATACGTTTAAGCCGTAAGCATTACATACATAATAAATCATAAAAATTTTAATTTTATAATTTAACTGGAGGTATCATTCTAATTTTCTAATCTTATTTTTATGATTTAGTTTGTTTTTAACATCACTCTATTTTTTTCTTTCTACGTTTTATAACAACTGTTATTCTATTACCTGTAATAAAATCTGTTCTCACCGTCGAAATATAGAATAGATTTTGACTATTGTCTGTTGTTTATTGAATTATCTAATTCCTATTTAATAGATTTTAAAATGACAAAGAATTATTAAGAATTATAGAAGTTTTTTTATAATGTTTTTCTTTTCATACTTATTGGTCATTTATACAAGATGTTACTTTCAATTGATGACGGTTTTTTATTTACGTGTTCCTATTCGTACTCTCTGTCAGTTGAATTATGTTCAACTATTATAACGTCTCAAGTTTTCAATCTAACATCTTATTTAATATTTTATTTACGTAAATAAAAAAAATAAAAAAAAATGTTTATATATAAAAAATGATCAATATTGTAATACACATACATGTCCAATATTACTAACGATAAAATACACCAATTGGCTGATTTTGACAAATTTAATTTATATTATTAAAAAATCATATTTTTCTACGGTTTTAGGTGGACAAACTTGAAAATATACCTGACTGAAAAATACGAAAAGGATTTAGGTAATGTTACAATAAAGTCAACTGAGAAATACATATGAAGAGTTTGAGAGCGTAACTGAAAAAAAAAAGAAATACTTCATCAATCTCAAGTTTCGCAATAATTGACTCGGCAGTGGGAAATAATGGATAATGGTACAAAAAAATACATATCTCAAAAGTGTAAGCTTTATGTAGTTCATGATCAATATTTTTAGAGTTTTGGATGTATTTGTATTATTTCAACAGTTATTTGTTTTATGTTACCAACTTTATATTTGTCTTTTAACAATCATTTTTCTTAATACTAGAGACAAGCATTTAACCTACTCCAAAACTTCGAAACAACATGATACTAAAGTACTGACTGGAGTCAAATCTCACAATTGCAGAACGTGTCGTAAAACGTTTAACCAAGACATTTAGTCAAGAGTTTAGAAAAGGGTAACAACCACCTGTTGAATCTCAACGTGCTTTTAATATCGTGTTAGAAGAAGAAGAGAAACAAAAAAATCAACTATAATTTTGGCATAGTCTTACCCACGATTATTATAGATCCTAGTTCCATCACGTTTTCAATTTCGCTTTATTTAATGCTGATTAGTGCTGATTTGACGTAAACAATTAGTGTTGATTTTCAAACTGACTTTCAAACTCTAATTATATTATTTAAGATCTATGACATTAGATTATTCTAGATTGGAGGTTCCTCTTGAAATTCAACATTTTCGGACATTTAAGCTCAATGAGCTTAATGACATTTAAGCTATCAAGAACCTCTTAAAATTAAGTTTCACTATATAATCAGATTATTATTTTAATTTGAATTTTAGAATTCTAAAACTAAAGTCGAATTCGGTGATCTCGAAAATCTTTAGAAAAGAAAATCTTTATTAAGCTTCATTGTTAAAAAATCCCGGTCCTCAAATAATTAAGTGTTTTAAGTATGTCTAAAAATATTTTAACATAACACGACGACGTGTTCGGAAATGATCGATGCCGTCTCGGCGCAATTAACCATTACCGAGAAGATGGCAAATTTATTCACAACGATACGACACCGTTGACTAGAGCATCATTAAACAAATCGCCTTCACCCAGCGCGCGATGTTTGCATACGCAACTAGACAAATCGCCGGTCGA